TTCTCCCCAAAACCGTGACCTTTGTACATAATAATAGAAACGGTTCGGTTTATTTACATTCGCAGTTCTCACGAGTACCACGAGAAATACAACGTTAGATAAAGATTTCCCAGCCTGAATTTCAGACATCCTCTAGAGGCAAAGGGATACCCGAGGCTAAAAGATTTCTCCTGGAGAGCTTTTCACCGTCTTCCGGCGTTATCAATCGATAAAATCACTTCATCGCTAACGATTTTTATCGATTTCGATTTTTATCTATTGGCTACTCCGGGAAGTAACTACACGCGGAACTGAGGTTATTTTGAAAGAGCGGCAGATCTAAGTCGTGAAAAACCGGGAAAAATGAAAAAAAACCTGGCCAATATCGGCCTTCCGAGGAAGACTTTAAAGCGGGTTTTAAAGAAAAGATAAGGTTTTTTTAAACTTTTTTTTTAAAAGTGATAATAAATTGTTTGATCCTTCGACTCTCAATTGCAACTCAATTGTCAACAAATTCACTGTTTGCATGAAATCAGTTTTCATTTTTCAGTGGATGTACAGAAGTGACAGATGCATCTTCCGATACAAATCGATGGAATCGGTAAAATCTAGATAAATCGATAAACGGAACGAGTGTGTCATCTATTTCTACCGATTGATCGATATCAATCAAATCAGATGTACCGATTTTTATCGATTTATCGATTGATAAATCGATACCGATTTTTATCGATTGACTACTCCTGGAAAAATGTTATTTGAAAATTGAACGATACTTCTAAATTAGATCAGAATGTAACGTAAAAAACATACCCTAAATAGAGGATGCGTTTTATTGTTTTGAGTATTAAAGCTGTTTCACCTTAGATTTGTGACAAACTACATCAGCCTCCACTAGTAAACAATCTTCTAGACTGTTCACAGTCCCCTATTTTCCAGTAAGATCGTCGAGATCGACGGCTTTGCATTGTGGGCTGCCGTCTAGACTACGAGTAGTCCCCCATTTTTCCTCAGGGATAAAAGAGCGGGCGAAACGCGAGCACGCGTGAAAATCACCCGACGCGAGAAAAGGCGACACGCGGCAGGTGCAGGTTACGCGGCAGGGAGAGAGAAAAATCTCTCTCCCTGCCGCGTCTCGCCTTTCTCGCGTGAGGTGATTTTCACGCGTGCTCGCATTTCGCCCGCTCTTTTATCCCTGAGGAAAAATGGGGGACTACTCGTAGTCTAGCTGCTGTCTTGCATGAGTGAGAGATAATCCCCGACGCCCACCCCCCCGCCCCCTAGGTACATTTGAAAATCAAGATGGCCGCCGTTAATG